TAATTTTTATTCTCTATTTTAATCAGTATGTTATTTTATCTAATCTAATTCCCAACAGCAGATTTTTATCTCTATTTTAATCAGTATGTATTTTTATCAAATCTTAATTCCCCAACAGCAGATTTTTATCTCTATTTTAATCAGTATGTATTTTTATCAAATCTTAATTCCCCAACAGCAGATTTTTATCTCTATTTTAATCAGTATGTATTTTTATCAAATCTTAATTCCCCAACAGCAGATTTTTATCTCTATTTTAATCAGTATGTATTTTTATCAAATCTTAATTCCCCAACAGCAGATTTTTATCTCTATTTTAATCATTGTGTATTTTTATCAAATCTTAATTCCCCAGCAGCAGATTTCTCCCTTGAAAATAATATTTGAATAACACCTGTGAAAATATACCGTAAGAGGGCGTTAGTGGCAGTTTGAGCACGAAGTTACACAATGGGCTAGCTGTGCTTTGCCCCCCCCCCCCCCACAGTGGCACATCGGTATGTCTGCGGACGTATACCGCTAGAAACCGGGTTTCGATACCCGTGGTGGGCAGAGCACAGATGACCCTTTGTGTAGCTTTATGCTTAATAATAAACAACAGTTGTGCTTTGCCCACCGCCACTATCAAAACAAGATGTTTAGCGTCATAAACTCTCAGACTTACCACTGATCCACCGGTGGACATACAAATATGACTATATATGTTGTATTTTGTTACATTAACTAGCCTAGAAGTCAGTTAGTTTCTTGTTAACTACAAAGCTACACAATGGGCTATCTGTTCTCTGCCCGCCACTGGTATAGAAACCTGATTTTAGCGTTATAAGCCTTCTAACTTACCGCTGGGCAACCCGGGAGCACACGTAAAAGTACTGTGATCTTATCTTTCCAATTTTAAATGTATCTAAAGACAGTTTTGTCTGTTTCCATTATCCCGTTGCCAAACATAAAGTCTAAGTTTATTTTGAACACAAAACTTTGTGTTTACCTAACTTAATAAACAAAAAAAAAAATGGATTTTTTGAAAATACATATATTAGGTTAATGCGGTTTCATAACTCCGGTTTATACGCTAAAGATCCGGGTTCGACTCTCTCGGCGGGCACACACTCTTCTATAAGTTATGTTTTATCCCTATCATAAAACCCGATGTTCTATAAGTCATGCTTCATCCATGTCAGAACACACTTGTTTTAAATAGGCCCATTGTTTCGAACTAAAGTTTCTAATCGATGAGAAGTGAAATTGTGAATATAGTAAAAGGTTCTGTTTGAAAGAAACAATTTCTAGAGTTCGAGTAGACGCCGATCCTTTAAATTGTTAACTTTTAAACTAAATCAATAAAAAAAGCAACAAACACTTTTATATATACCTCCTGGAAGTTAACAATGTAAAGAACTATGAAAAAGGACAGCATCTATCTTTACTGTTACAGAACGTATTACATGGGTCAATATCCACCATCTGCCTTTATTGTTACATAATGTATTACATGGGTCAATATCCACCATCTGCCTTTATTGTTACATAATGTATTACATGGATCAATATCCACCATCTGTCTTTATTGTTACAAATTGTATTACATGGTAAATATCCATCACCTATCTTTATTGTTACAGAGTTCATTACATGGGTCAATATCCACCATCTATCTATATTATTACAGATTGTATTACATTGGTCAATATCCACCATCAATCTATATTATTACAAATTGTATTATATGGGTAAATATCCACCACCTATCTTTATTGTTACAGATTGTATTACATTGGTCAATATCCACCATCTACCTTCAAATGTTTCAGCTATATCTTCGACATCAGTAGTCGAGAATATTATTTTGATGGCAAGACATTCTGTAGACAAACATAATGATCTTTTATTCTTTGTCTGTTGATGGGTCAGCAGCGTAAGTTCACGAACCTACAGTGCTAAAATTATGGGCTCGATTCCCCGCGGTGAACACATTGCAGTATTGCAGATAGTTGATTGTGTAGTGTGTAACTTTGCACTAACGAACTAACAAAACAAGTTACATAGGGTACACTATTAGTGATCACTTATAACCTGCTCTGAATAACAGGCCTGGCATGGCCTCGTGGTAAGTCTACTTGACACGCAATCTGATGGTTGCGGGTTCGCCCTTTCAGCCGTAGAGGCGATATAATGTGACGATGAGTTCCACTATTCGTTGGCAAAAGAGTGGCCCAAGAGTTAGCGGTGGCGGTGTTAACTAGCTGCCATCCTTCTAGTCTATCACTGCTAAATTAAGCGACGGCCAGCGAAGATACCCCTCGTGTAGCTTTGCGCGAAGTTCAAGTCAAACCACACCAAACGCTGAATAACAACTTACGAGTTGTGATACACGGGCAACACTTGTGTGATATGCCCATTAAAAAAAAGACATTTCGATATTCTAGTGAAAATCTTGTGTATGAAAAAATTTCTTGCCATCAAAACAGTATGCTCACCTATTAACATCCAAGATTCTTCAGCGAAGTTGTCACTATAATTTAAATTAATTTAAACTTATTTCAATTGTTTTCAACTGTAATAAAAAGTCAAGACTTGCAGGAATTTGAAACGTAACATTGAATGCTACTGTTAAAATCCTAAAACAAACAGTGAACATTTAGTTAAACATTAAAGAGATAGAATACTATTACTAACACAACCTCAACGAAAACTTCAACATTGGACTATCCAATTCAGCTCTATTTTATAATCTATATAGGTTGTTTTTTTTTCAGTTTGGAGTAAGGAATTTGATCATATCAACATTGTTTCTTATCAAGCATTATGTATAGTATATTTGCTACACATTTACATTGACCTTGTACAGGTTGAATTAGTGTACTCGTTGCAGCCATTGCGATATCTACGCCGAGATGAGAAATGTCTGGAATCAATGGAGTTTTTGCGTAGCAGGGTTGCCAGAGAAACACAGATGATTGTTATCTGAAGCACCAAAAATAAACATGAGTCACTAAAACATAATTTATTTTAGTTTAATTATTGTATATACAATTACAGTATAGCTTATTGTTAGTTCTAAGGAAGGGCGGTAGCCCTAAGCGTTAATTATACTGATAGATACATAGTTTGTCATCAGTATTTGTTTTCGTCTTAAATTATAACCATAGTTATAAGTTAATTTACATAATGTAATTTAAAATGAATTTGACAGAAGAAAATAGAACATTACAAAATATGAGACTGTTTTAAAATATTCTGCGAAAATACGTTCATTTGAATATTCTTCTTTTATGACGTCATCAGTTAAAACGGAACGTTTTCTTTTTTTATAGTTCGAAAGGATTTTTCGTTCTTTCTTATCACGGTCGCGGACTATCATAAAAGTTAACTGATAATTAAGTTTTGGCATTTAATAATACAAGATAAACTTTAGACTAAGTGTAATTCCTTTTGGTCCAGGATGTTTTTACTCAATTAGCTCACATTCTTTCCATACAAAAGTGTTCGTTCTATCAATTATGTAAAAAAATTAAGTTAGTTTGTTTGTTTGTTTGAAGTTAAGCACAAAGCTATACAATAGGCTATCTGTGCTCTGCTCACCACGGGTATCGAAACCCGGTTTCTAACGTTGTAAGTCGGCAGACATACCGTTGTGCCACTGGGAGGCATTAGGTTAGTTAAGCTTCATTAAAACTTTACAACATTCATTTGGTGAAATGTCCTTCAATATAAAAAAGGTGGCGCTCTTGCTGTTTGTGAGGAAAATTTATCGGACCGAAAGGTATTCAAATAAAAACACAGTTTACCGAAACTATTTACTTAATGATAAATTTAAGATGTCAAAACAGTTTTTTGAAAACGCACAGTCAGAACTAGACATACTTAAGACAGAGAGACGTCAGGGTTAGTTTTACATCTTATACAAACACAAATATATGTAAGCCGTATCTCCACTTACAACCAATATAATCCATTTCACTTCATCAGAACTCCAGGATTTGCCACTCATCTTCAGAAACGTTAACAGATTCTCTTTATTCGCTGTTAATTCTGCTACACCCAACAATTAAAATGCTGGTCAGGTTTGCTCCGAATGTCTGATTTTTTCTTGCATCAAAAGTTTCAACTCCGTTAGTTCAATAGCTCAGCGTTTTCGAAATCACAAGTCTGGATTTGTTTTTCCTCCCCTAAAATAAATAGGATAAACCTGTGTTATTTCACTGCACTGAGATAATTGAAATGCAATAGCTGTCTTAGCGTTTATAAAAAGTTTTTCTTGAAACTTTACTTGCATAAATATCAACTTTACAATAAACAGAAAAAATGGGTTTAAATGATTTTATGGGCTAAATGTGAGCTTTTATGAAAAGAAACAAATATGTAAATTTCTGATTGTAATTTTTATAAAATTCCTTGAAGAACTTTGACATCAACTTGTTTGTTTGTTTTAGAGCAATGCCACTTTAGGCTATCTGCTGTGTTCTCCGCGAGGAATCGAACCCTTGATTTTAGCGTTGTATGTTTGTAGTCCTATCGCTGTCTCGCCGGGAGACGCAATATTCAAGTACAGTGTTTTCGGCCGAAAACCAAATACACACATACAAATGTTAAGTATTAGTTAAATACATTCCTCCCCACACCATTTTATACATAGATTAATGAAATAATTACTGTAAAAATAAACGTACATTTTGATTAATTTATAATTGAGAAATTAAAACCGCAGGCGAAGAAACGGATATATAATACAGTATATAAAAGTCATGAATGTAGAAAATATTATGTTAAGAATTAAGCAGATCGTTGGGATTAAGTAGAGAAATCGACAAACGTCACCTACCTATATCTCAAGTAGCCCTTTTGTAAAGATATACACCTTTTGGACATCTGTTGTTTAACTTAAAGTAATCAGGTGCAGAAAACGTGATCTTTTGTGTTAATGTAAAGTTTTAATATATAACAAATGGGCTAAAAATATTCACGTTAACAATGGGATCAGACACTTAGCCCACAGAACTCACAAACAATAACGTATGTATAAAATACCTCTATGGAATAAGTAGAGAAAGAACACGTGTTAAGATTAAGGTATATTTTATCTCTCGAGGTATCAGATACGGTGAAATAATGCCACCTGGTCACCTTCTAAAGTAAAGCAAGGCCAACTACAACCCTGTTTTCTTATTATATGTTTGTGTGATTGTAAATAAATTGTTATATGTTTGTGTGATCGTAAATAAATTGTTATATGTTTGTGTGATCGTAGATAAATTGTTATATGTTTGTGTGATCGTAAATAAATTGTTATATGTTTGTGTGATCGTAAATAAATTGTTATATGTTTGTGTGATCGTAAATAAATTATTATATGTTTGTGTGATCGTAAATAAATTGTTATATGTTTGTGTGATCGTAAATAAATTATTATATGTTTGTGTGATCGTAAATAAACTGTTATATGTTTGTGTGATCGTAAATAAATTGTTATATTTTTGTGTGATCGTAAATAAATTATTATATGTTTGTGTGATCGTAAATAAACTGTTATATGTTTGTGTGATCGTAAATAAACTGTTATATGTTTGTGTGATCGTAAATAAATTGCATTTTTATCATCGTGAATATTAATGTTTTACATTAGAATTATTAAATTTTAGGATATACATTGACGCTTCTGAAACTATTGTATCTCAGTGAGTGAAAGAAGTTTCTTAGATTTTATTCAGTTTTAAAACTTTTACATTCAGATGTTTTTTAGTTTAATTAACAGGGCACATACCAAATCGTTCTGACTTGGAGTTAAATTATGATAATATAACATTTTTCATCAAAGGACGGTTAAATTAATTTTGATTTTATAAATCATAAATTCATCGCGTTTCTAAAAACAATATATAAAAAATAGGACTTTATTTCAGCGGACTAGCAATGTGACTAGCAATAATCATATATGAGATTCAACAAAATAAAACTACACTTAATAATGCGAGTGTCGATCCCATTATTCGTTGATAGAGAGCAACCCAAGAGTTGGCGGTGGGTGTTGTTGACTAGTTGCCTTTCCTCTAGTCTATCTCTTCAAAATTAGGGACGGCTAACACAGTTAGCCCTCGAGCAACTTTGCTTGAAATTCAAAAAACAAAAAGTAAAAAAATAAGTTCAATGTGCTATGAACTAACTTCACACAACAGACAGAAGTCTACGTTGTATAATTCACAATTGTACGATGCACGTTACAGATCAGTACACTGCTGTATGTTTTCAAGTACAATGTTTTATTTGTCTGTACTTATTTGGTAGTTCTTCTGTACCGAGAAAACATATTTACTGTTCTATTAGATATCAGCGCTCCAGTTGTCGCATGACCCTGTATCAAAATACTCGGGAAGTTTCCGGACTTTTTTCTTGAAATCTATTATTTTATAATATAATGCAATATGTTAAAAAAAAACATCTCTAAAACTAGAATTGCAACTAACATTATGTAAATATATTCATAACTTCTTCAGTTTAGATTCTAGATCAATAAATATATATATATATATACACACACACTCACATACACATCTATATTTATAAACATGTTCTACTATCTCATTTAATTACTATTGGTTATAGTACCCAAGCTGTGAATCTGAAGGTTCATTGTTTGCGTTTTTTACCGCAAAAACGCACTCCGCACTTTGGAGTCGTGGATGCTTCATAAAAGTGACAGTAAAATCCCGCTATTGATGAGACAATAACAGCTCAGAAGTTGATGGTGGTTTATGTTTAATATCTCCTTCACCTCTTCCCTTACAAAGATTTTTTTTTAACTATGCGCAAAAGTTAAAAAAAAAATCCGTACCTTTCTGTGCCATGCCTTTATTGTTTCATACAACGTGAAATTTTATATGAGTAAAGCACTGTAGTATATTTGAAGTAAAAATATAAAATACACGCAATAAAATCTCGAAAGAAGGTCAGACAAGTTGCAAACAGTAGTGGGAATAAGCGTGGACTAGTTGTTAACATTTCGGGCTGCGTATCGCAAGGTCTGGGGTTCGAGAAGTGATGATGTTGAGCATGATTCGCACTTTAAAGTGTGGGTGTATCATAAAAGTGACAGTCAGTTCTATTATTCGATTCAAAGACCCAAGCAAAACTCTTGTGACGGTGGGTACTACTGGTTGTCTGCCCCGCCTCTTTTCGTTAGTTTTAAATTTAGGATAGCATTACCTAAACCACTAGGGTTAGTGAGATAGCTGTTTAGCACGTGTATCGTATAAGATATTTCCACGTTGAAAATTTCATTTCTGACTGCAACCAGTTGCAAGCTATGTTCCAAGGATTGTACGATAAATTACATTTAATGTTTGTTAATACTTTCATAAAACTGAAACATATTAATTTATCTCAATATCGATTTTTTCTTTTATTTTTATGTTTGGAACAAAAAATTATGTCACGTGATTGTTTTCGAAGTGAATCGTTTGAATTGTAGAAGACAAGATGCAATTAGTGATACATATATTTTACGGTGCATTCTTTAATCTTTAAGGAAATTACGTAATAGAGACAAGAAGACGTTAATGTATTGAATGAGTTAACATCAAGACAAAAAAACTCAATCCTGTAGTGCAGAGAAGCCAAATCATATAATGTAAAAATAATAATAAAAAATGTTAAAGGTTTAATCAGAAACACTATGCAAGGGCAATGTTTTATTGATAGCTAAGTTGTGTGATTTAACATTAAACTTACCGATTGAATTCATATGGCTTCATATGGAATTCACTGGACTTTTAAAGACACTTTTCAAATCTGTTTATGTATCAACTTGTTTCTCTGTCCACAACTTTGCTGGTTACAAAGTCCCTAATAACAAATGGTAAGCCTAAAGTTTTATAATGTTAAAAATCGGGTTTCGATACCCGTGGTGAGCACAGCACAGATAATTCATTGTGTAGTCTTGTGCTTAACAACAAACAAACAAAACAAATGAATAACACAAATAGATTAAATAAAACATAACATCAATATGAAGTTAATCCCACTAATGACAGCTCTAAGAATGTTACTTAGAAAATTAGTGATTTGATCCTTCATTTGAACACTGAGTGTTTCAACAAATAAAAACACGAACTTATTCAATACGATGCAATATGTGGCCATTATCGTCAGTGTGCGGTACACTAACAAGTCGATAACTTGAAATGTTTTTTGCAGCAAATCTACACATTGGCCTATCTGCACTGTGCCCACAGCAGGTATTGATTTGAGGTTTAAGCGAGTTAAGTATACGTTCTAAACTGTTACCTAAAAATAGTCTTAATACATTGTGCTTAATATTTTTCATGAGGAATCATATGAACTTTGAGTTATTCTTAATTCACCATACACAGGCCCGGACGAAGAATGTTTCAAAGGGGGATTCTAATTTGTGAGATAAAAAGCCAACACATATTGTGCGAAGTACTGTCAGCATGCAAAGCGTGTTAATACTACGTGGGTATTGGGCATGCCCCCCCCCCAGAAAAGTTTTAAAAAATAGTTGCTATGAGATTAAATTTGGAAGCAATTTTGCAGTAAGTATAGTTTAAACAATTGGATGGTTGTTTACATAAAATCCACAAACATCCAAAACGTTAAATACCATAAACAGCTGCACTATAACTTTATAAGCATAATTTTTTACATCATAAAAATAGGGGGTTCGACACCTTCTCGAACCTCCCCTGCGTAGTGCGTGATACAGTAAGCTAAATTAATTTAGGCATGTGAATAATGTTATCACATTGTACTTACTTTATTATTCTATATTATACAGCGGGCCAACTGTTTAATGATTATATATATATTACGAATTTCCTTTCGTTTTAACCAAAGGTAAAACTGAAAATAGAATCTGTGACGTAGATGCCTAATGCATTTCTAGTTTGCAGTACCCTTTGCTGTGGACTGCAGTTTCGTCTATTCAAGGCTCATTAGCACAGTTTAGATCAGCAAACTAAAGAAATACAGCTAGGCCTCTTCTAATATATTTCTAAGAGTTATTACAATCAGCCGTGATAAAGAGTGGAGTCAAATAAATTTGAAAATGAAAGAAACTTTTTTACAGGAAAAGTCGTAACATTTCAGGAAAGGCACAGACACAGAGCTCAAGGACGAGACCTGGGAAACGACATTAAGAATCCGCCTTTAAGAGACCTGAAGGTCAAGTAATCGTCGGAATAAAAATGAAGTAGTTATTCTCCAAAGGTAAAAAAAAAGTCTCATTAATAAAACATTCAATTCTAAATAAAATGTTAGTGAATAGTGTGTGGAAAGTTACAGTTTGTTACATTAAGGCACAAACAAATTGCAAAGTTTATTAGATCAAAATATTGAAAGATTATGTAAAATCTCAAAGTTTGGTAAGTTAATATAAGGATATAAATAACGTATAACCAACCATAAACTGCCTTGAAACATTAAAGATTTTAATAAACACAGTACCACCTGATTAGAATGCTTATTACTAATAATAACGTTATATTGTTGTGGACTGAAAGTACGTAGATTAATAAAATTGTAATAGACAAGATTAATTCAAGAAATATTAAGATCTTCAATTAACGACTCTTCCAAATATACATTCTAAACATTTTAATATATATATTCATACATAAACACATTATTTTTATTTTATTTTATTTTTGGAGGGGGGAGGGTACTTTTGACTGCAGCAGAAAAAAATTATTTTCTTTCCCAAAACAATTCTACATTCGAAAATTTGCTAACATTAAGTTTACTATAGTCACTTAGAGTTACTCTGTTATTAATGTTTGATTCATCACTAGAAATATAAACAAGTTTCATAGTTTACTATAGTCACTTAGACTTACTCTGTTATTAATGTTTGATTCATCACTAGAAATATAAACAAGTTTCATAGTTTACTATAGTCACTTGGACTTACTCTGTTATTAATGTTTGATTCATCACTAGAAATATAA